ATCTAGAGGGGCAAGAGTATCATCTAGAGGGGCAAGAGTATCATCTAGAGGGGCAAGAGTATCATCTAGAAGGGCTAGAGTATCTAGAGGGGCAAGAGTATCATCTAGAGGGGCAAGAGTATCATCTAGAGGGGCAAGAGTATCATCTAGAGGGGCAAGAGTATCTAGAGGGGCAAGAGTATCATCTAGAGGGGCAAGAGTATCATCTAGGGTAAATAGGAGTATCATCTAGAGGAGCAAGAGTATCATCTAGGATGACAGGAGCAGATAACAAAATCATCTAACCAAGACAGGGCATCATCTAGGGCAGTGGTTCAGAAAGTGGGCGGTAGGGGATAGGACAAGTGGGATCTTTCCCCCTGGGGGCGATGGAAAGATCTGGAGTAGCGGTGAGGTTCAAATTGCAGCATGCCAAATATCAAGAAAAAGGTGTTTGTTTCCACATGTGTCGGTGGGGGGGGCACTAGGAATTCACTGGCAAAACAAGGGGGCGCCAGCCTGCAGAAGTTTGGGAACCATTGATTCCAGGGGGATCTGGAGTATCATCTAGTGAAGCCTAAAGTATCAATAGGGAAGGCATCAGTATCGTCTAGGGACGAGTGCATCATCCAGCTAAGGCATTGTCTTGAGAAAGCAAGTGCATCATCCATTGGAAGCAAGTGTTGTCTCTAAGTGCAGGTGCACCCTAAAGGTGCAGGTGCACCCTAGAGGTGCAGGTGCACCCTAAAGGTGCAGGTGCACCCTAAAGGTGCAGGTGCACCCTAAAGGTGCAGGTGCACCCTAAAGGTGCAGGTGCACCCTAAAGGTGCAGGTGCACCACTAAGATGCAATATATAATAAAACTCACCCGAAGCGCCGAGATCTCCTTTAAGCAAGAGGAAGTGACATGTGGCCGGTTATTAATTAACATTTTATCATTTTCCCAAGATCCATTTTTATATTGTCTAGAAAAAATTGAATAATATACAAATTACTTGACATATTAACATTTTCTTGAGGTCCTTTTGTATATTATCAAGAAAAAAACAGGACAATATACAAATTACAAACTATACCCGGCAAAATTACAAACTATTCAAGACATGAAAACTAGTTTAGAACTAGAGAAGAGCCAATAAAATGTTCCCTTCTCGGGGAAGGCATGAAATTCCGTTCGTATTCATGACATGATAACAAAAATTCCCCACAAATGTTCCCCTAAAATGTTCAAAGAGTGTTAAAAGAAGTTCATTATATATTCCTCGCTGTCGGGGATAACTCCCCAAACTTTGAGTGGTAATAGCCAATGAAAAAATCCCCCGTAAAAATATGATTTACATGGGGACGCTTTCACTGGAAGGGCTTGGAGGGACTTACATGGGGACGCTTCCACTCGAAGGACTTGGGGACATACATGGGGACGCTTCCACTCGAAGGGCATGAGGGACTTACATAGGGACGCTTCCATTGGAAGGGCTTGGGGGGACTTACATGGGGACGCTTCCACTGGAAGGGCTTGGGGGGCCTTACATGGGGACGCTTCCACTGGAAGGGCTTGGGGGGCCTTACATGGGGACGCTTCCACTCGGAGGGGCTTGGGGACTTACATGGGGACGCTTCCACTCGAAGGGCTTGGGGGGACTCTTGCTGAAGAAGATCGAGGAGTCCTGAGCGGGGAAGGCAGGATCCTCGAACAGGACGCCGTTCTCGAGGCAGTAGTCCCGGATGCGCTCGAAATCCTGCACCTCCTCCCCACGACCATGCAGGCCGGAGCCCCGCTCCCCGAACTGTGGGGAAGAATAATTAATATGTTTTATAAATATTATCATTTTTTAAGTGTTGAAATATCAATATATTCAAATAAATATATTTTAAAATACAACCCAAGTAAAACGATATCTAGCAACCTAAAGAAGGGTTTTAGACACACCTAGCCCTATCTCTAACCCTAACCTAACGAGGTTGGCGTTTTTTATGTCCGGTGAAGTAGTTCATTTATTTTCGCGTCCGATTTTTGAGTACAAACTAATTGCAGAGTTAATAACCGGACGCGATTTTGTCCGGTTATTGTTAAACTTATATATTTTATATATTTATATATAAATACATTTAAATATATATATTTAAATATCAATATATTTTAGAAATAAATAAATGAAATATAATTAAATGATAAAATAATGAGTTATAATCTTTTAAAAATGTTGAATGCAAGAATTTCTTCCCCAGGAACGTTTAGCCCCGAACTCTGTCCCAAAAACTGCTATGGGGGAAGAATAATGAATTAATTACCTACATATTATTGAAGAATCTAATTTAAACTTATATTTGAATTATAAATAAATTATAATTGCAAATACTTCTGCCGCACGCCCATGCTGGCTTCCCTCCAAACTAAGGTGGGAGACATAATTATTAAATTTTACATAATATAATTGAAGAAATAGAAATACTCGTATAGAAAAAAATATAAGTAATGGCATTGAATTTATTAAAAATTGCCAGTGCAGAAATAGATTTTTATCTAACTTTGTTTCCCGCCAAAAACATCAATTCAAATTACATATACGTACATATTAATCGTTAAATATTAACTTAAATTAAATATAAATGCGAATAAACTGAAAAAAATGAATTGGATCGTCAAAATAGCGGTCCGACCTTTGTTTGACATACGATGAAATATTAGTGTACTATACATTGAAAACACAGCTAAATTATATGTTATGAATCGACATGTACGAAAGTTGATGAAAATAACGTACGTGACTTCCCTGAAATTACCTGAAGTCACGCCTGTTACGGCTGAATATTCACCATATTAACATTGAAAAGACGTACAAATGAATAAGTTAGCTTATAATTATTTCCAGAATTATGTATTGTGTATGATGTCACCATTGTACGTAGAATACATTAATCGTGACATGAACCAAAACATGAGGAATATTGTCGACGAATAAAAATGAAGGCGATAACGATGGCAATAATAAGGAAGATAATACGATAATTATAGACTTTATGATAAATATCTTAAATCGGAGCGACTTTATGCGTTTTTTTTATCAACAGGATAATGTTTTATTCAGGCTCTAAGTTTTTGTGACGTTATCTAACGTGTGCTTTGATCAAGACGTTGGTTAACGTTCGTTATGATGAAGACGTTAGCCAACGTTCGTTATGATCAAGACGTTAGCCAACGTTCGTTATGATGAAGACGTTATCCAACGTTCGTTATGATCAAGACGTAAGCCAACGTTCGTTATGATCAAGACGTTAGCCAACGTTCGTTATGATCAAGACGTCAGCCAACGTTCGTTATGATCTAGACGTTAGCCAACGTTCATTATGATCGAGACGTCACGGACTGCTTGTGTGGGCGCGATAAGGGCGCGTTATCGGCGGCCGCCGGATGCGCGCTCAGCCCAGGCGATACGCTGCAGCGTCGGCACGCGATAACAATTGATTATAAACCTAATTTACCCTAACTGCTAATTATTATCCCTAATTATGACTAATTAGTAAGGTAACCATAACTATGGTAACATGGTAGTATTCACGGTGCATTATTTCATGACAAAATAGAGGAATTAGGTAGCATGAAATAATACCATAGGTCCATAGTATTATTTTATATAAAGTAATACCATCATATTATTGTTGGTTTTAGGATTATTCAGTTTATCCCAAAAGGAAAGTGCGATTATCCCAGAAGGATACTAATGCGGTCTTCACATTGTTGGGATTGAGCAGAAACTATTGAGCCAAATAGTCTTTCTTATCCGCATTATGGACTCCTCGATCCAAAGCATTTCATCCAAAGAGCAGAATCCTGATATTGCTTCTTCCATCATCCACACAAAAGTTTTCTCGTCATCCACACACCGACTTTCAATTCTATCATCCACACACCGGTTTTTAATTTTGTCATTTACACACCGGTTTTTAATTCAAACATCCATACACCGGTTTTCAATTGTTTAATTGTTGTTTTTGTTGTTTATCCACACACCGGTTTTCAATTCAAACATCCACACACCGGTTTTCAATTCAAACATCCACACACCGGTTTTTCAATTCATTTTTCAATTCTATCATCCACACACCGGTTTTTTTAATTCTATCATTCACACACCGGTTTTTTCATCATCCACGTACCGGTTGCACGATGTGGTACCGTCCGTCCGCTCCTTGGAAAACGCACCGAAAATTTGATAAAAATTTCCGTCCATTTTTGACGTTTCTGTATCGCTGCTTGCGGGGATATTTGACAGGAGAAATCGTCATAGGTTTGGAGGCAATATCCAAAATCCGTTTTTTTCAAAGACATTGTGCAAAATAAGTGCATTGATGAAGTGCAGAAATAACGGTGATGTCCATTGCATTTTTATGGTGAAAATAACGGTAGCAGTGATGACCATTACCGTTTTAACCATTTTCAATTGTACCTTTTTAAAAATTGTCAGCCATGACAATTTAAAAAATTGCCAAATGGTTGGCAATTTAAAAAAATTGCCAACCATTTTAGTTTCAAAAATTCAGCGCATCCAGTGAAAGTTTTTTTTATCATGTCCATGCAAATTGAAATCATCAACCATTGTCGTTAAATTTCAGATAATATACAAAAATCGGTTGAATGTTGTTGATTGAAATCGGGTCTCCAGTGAGTAATTTGACGTAGAATTTTCAAAAACTTGACTTCGGTTGGTTCACGTTGATTTTACGATAGCTTTTCGCAGGTTTGTGAAGAATTGCCTCAATTTTTTGGAGAATATTATTGTTGTTCCGAAGAAGTTCATCAGGAATTACAATATTTAAAAAATATTCGCTTCGTTTGTTATCGCCGGTCGGAAGAGATGATTGGAGAGTGAAAGGAAAAAATAAAATTAATAATTAATAAAACTAAGAACTGATAAAGTTCGAATGATGAAAAACATTAGACAAACAAATGTTGTTAATGATCTAGTAAATATGCTTCAAGTAAAATAAATATTTTCGATCAATAATAAATGAATTATATTTCATTAATATGAACAACATCGATTCGAATTAATTTGATCTATTAGATCCAATTATAAATAATAAACGGTTATATTTTTTAGGGTGGCGAAATAACTGCGTTTGAGTAGTCATTCATCTGGTAAATAAACTATTTATCGAGTCCCTTTAACATATTTACATTTAAATTTACATTAATTATTTAATGATTGAAACTTCAGATCGAAATACCAATATACAAAAATGCGCAATACCAAATATATCACGTAAAAATAACTTTTATTTGTTGATAATTAAACAAATACATTGATCAGAGTTAGTATTTTAAGTTCAAGCAATTTATCCTATACTGAATAATGAAAATTTAACGAATTATCGAATTATTAATCGTTAATAGTTAAAAAATAAATTGATTAATAGTTTACGCTCACTTTGATTAAATTTTCTGTAGAGTCTTGAGATTTGTATTTATTTCTCCTCACATCGTTCTTCCCCCTACCGTCATTATACGGTCGCGTATCATTGATATCATCCAGACATTCGATCAAATCTTCGATGACGTCCCCCTTTCGAAAATTCGTGTTCGAAGAAATCGGGACAAAACCGACATAATTTCCGCCAATGTCCAAGTTGGGGAAAGGCTGAACCCCAAAACCAGTGGGCGCATGTGGGGGTTGAGCCCCGAATCCAGTGGGTGCATGTGGGGTTTGAGCCCCAAAACCAGTGGGTGCAGCTGGGGGTTGAACCCCAAAACCGGTAGGTGCGGGTGGGGGTTGAGCCCCAAAACCGGTAGGTGCAGCTGGGGGTTGAGCCCCAAAACCAGTGGGTGTAGACGGGGATTGAGCCCCAAATCCGTAGGCTGGATGAGGGGGTTGAGCCCCAAAACCGGGTTGAGCCCCAAAACCGGTGGGTGCATGTGGTGGGGGTTGAGTCATAAAACCAGTGGGCGCAAGTTGAGGTTGAATCCCAAATTCGGTGGATGCAGTTAGGGGTTGCGTGAACCCCGAAGTCAAGTTGTAGGGTGAAGTTGGGGTTGCGTTTAGGGTTAAACCCATTGAGGGATGACCAGTATTTCTTATTTGTGGGGGATTTAAATTTTCCCCGCCATAGAGGCTCCTATATTCCCCAGCTGGTACTCCCCAGCCAGCCATAATTAGGGTAAGATCTATGCAATTTACCCCAAGTTTATAATTTCAAAGCAAAATACTTCGAAGAAAATCTTTCAAATTTACCCTAACTTTAGGAAAAGAATGTTTTAAGGAAAATCTGTCAATAGACACGAGATGATTGAGAATAGAAATATTGTTTAAAAAAGTTTTAGATGATGAATGGAAAATGAATGTCAGTGAAACTGACACAGTGAAAGTTAATGTCAGTTAAAAATGTGAAAAATTTGAAAAATGAATGTAAGTGACAGCATTTAAATATTGACTAAAGGAACGAAAATTTAGGGAAGAGTCGGAAAGAACAGGAAAACATACGAAAAAGTAAATAATAAAAGATTCGGAACCAAGAAAAATGTTCTGAAAAAATTGTACTAACGGGATACCTGGAATTATATTATTTTTTCATTTCCTACTTTATATATATAGAAATTAATTCTATACATAGAAAAACGTTCTGTTTTTAGAAATTCTGTATATAAATAAAGGAATTCTTTCTATAGATAAAAATGTTTTCCAAATCTAGACATTATTCCTACATAGACAAATTCTCTCTATATCCAGAAATACTTTCTATATATAGAAATTCTTTCTGTAAATAGAAATTCCTTTACAGATAGAAATTC